CCACTACCACTACCACTACCACCAATCAAATCGCATCGTGGACGCTATTTTTGAGGCCATTGTCATCGCCACCACCGTCACCCTAACCCGGCCGCACCCGGCCACTTTCACCACCGCCACTCCCGCCACCACCACCACAATCACCCCCACCCCTAAACCTTAGACCATGTCGATCTTGTTTCAGGCTTATGGGCTATGACGTTGCAGCTTGTGGAGCCTGAGATCCTCGGCAGCAAGAAAGAGCACCGGCCGCAATCGCATGGCCGCATTGGTACCTTCACTCCAGTTCAGTGCAGTCAGTGTCAAGGAGCACCGAGCGTATAAGCGCTGCTGTCAGCATTTACTATCGTTGGTCCTTCATCTGTTCGTTCGATCAACAGGGTTTCGTAACGCTGGCATCAGGGCTTGTCGTATCTTGGCAGTCTCAGCATTCTGCGAATACTTGATTTGGCCTGGCTCGTAAATTCGGTCAACGGCAAGTTCAATACTTCAATACTGTCAACCCGCATTTCTTCAATCATCTGGCCCGGAGTAATTAGCAATCAAGTGTGTATTTTCGTAACATCTGTGTATGGGCATACTTTCTGAACATACAGCTGTTTGCTTCCGTGTGAAATGTGTTGCACCTGCCAGCAGCTTTAAGATAAAGTCTTTGCTTTCTGCTGTGTGCACGGAGGGTTGGCACTAGCACTAGCAAGATCTCCATACACTGGCAGCGGTAATTAAGCATTGCGAGAGAAACGGGGTAATGGAAGCGCATTACTGGCACAACTCCAGCAGCCACGCCCAGAGAGCTTTCCATATATCCGCGTCTACCCTTCTCTCTCTCTCTCTCTCTCTCTCTCTCTCTCGCTTGTTCCCTCACTGATTTATTTCCAGCATGCCCAGCTGCGCACAGCCCAGACACACGCCGGAAACAGCTCGCTACATTCCACTATTGTCGCCTGGTAAGTCGTAATATTGAAATTCGATCTGGGGCCACCACAATATATGTTCTGCCACAGGATGAACGAAGATAGGGTCACTGTGACTTACCTGTAACCTGACCCCAAACATCTGGAAGACAGGCTCGCAGATCACCAAAAGGCGCCCTCGGTTTTTCTAGCCGCCATAAGCTCCTCCTCTGGCAGGTTTCCCCGATGGATTAACGACATTGAATCATCCGATCTGGAGTTCGGAATCGAGTCGTCGAAATCGCCTCTCCGAATCTACGTTGCCGCCTTCTACTTCTGCGCCTACACGATGACCTCCGTGGGCTACGGGGATGCTGGGCCGGATAGCTTGGCTGTTGACCTCATGTATACTCTACCCATAGGCTTCATTCTAGTTCCCCTTTTGTGGTTTATATTTAGAATCCTATGGGATTGGATGGGATGCTGTTCATCGTGTCACGACGACTTCGCACGATGGACCTCGCCTGGCATGTCCGAGTTGCGAGAGCGTATATAAGCTAATCCCAAAAGGAAACTTCAACGGAGCCTATGGGTAAGGCCTTGAGGGGTAGGATGGTTTGTATCCATCAAGTTCCCAGGACATCGGCCCAAAAAACATCCTGGAGCGCTTGGTCTGCTGCGGGATCATCCTGAGCGCTGGCCTCTGCTGGGCCTACATCCTGGGTGAGGTCTGTGGCATCGTGGCGGACATGACCAGCGAGAGCCAAGAGTTCCGGAAGAGGATGTATCACCTGAACCGCATGATGAAGATGCAGGAGGGGTTTAAAGAGAGGTGTTTTGGTGCACTCAGGTGGGAGGTTGAATCCCGCAGCCGTGGACGATGGATTTCATATTTCAGGGCCTGGGATCCCAAGCAAGACCAAGCTCTCCAGGCGACTTCACTCTCAATCATTGCTCCCTTTCCTTAGGGTCCTTAGAAGGAGCATGCCTAACTTGGAAGAATCCCGCGCATCTCTCCACAGCACTTCCGATCATCGCTAATTATCGACATGACCCCATGAAAGGAGCCCGTTCAACATAGTATGCCAACACCTAAACCCTGAAGCCTGGACCCCTAGCCTAAACCCTACATAAACCCAGTGTAGGCGTAGACTCCAAACGGTCACAGAGCAGGTCGCAGTCCAAGCAGGACCATTCCAGGAGTCCCCGCCTAGGCTGCCAAAGCCACCCTTGGAGTCCAAAATGCACACTAAATGGTTTAGGGTTTAGGGTTCAGGATATGGCAAGCACATTACAGCATTTATTTGACACTAGCTACTTACCCACAGCCTGGGGGCTCTATATTTGCGTTGCATAAAAGCTTGTATCCGAGCCCTATAGCAACAAGGAGCTTGTTTCAGTCAGCGGCTGAGATCCAGAAATCAAGCTATGCTGATTACATAGACACCGACGACGTGAGCAAAGTTAGCCTGCTATGTTCAGCACCTTACAAATTACAGGCCTCGGCGCGTTACAACCCGGTTTGTCAGGAGCTACCACGCGAACTCAAAGCGCGATTGAGAAGCTTCTTTCTACAAAACCGGCACCAAGTCCAGTTCCTGACGCAACAGAACCTCGCCGGCACAGTGGTCGTTCGGAGTCAGTTGAGTGGAACCAGAAGATTCCTAACTTCTCTGGGCTCTGTCGGTGCATCTCGACAGAGGCCGTCATTGCGTCAGCTGGCCCCTTACTATACGGCCTATTTGGGGGTTCCTTATAGTAATCACAGTATATACCCCAAAACCCTATTCTAAGGTTTTTTGGCCCCTGGATTATACACGTGCGATCAGCACTGCCCGACCGGAGTTGCCTGTGCACATATAGGAAGGGGAACTCAAGTTCACTTTCGAGCAAGCGTTTTATCAACACGTGTTACAGGAGCTGCAGGGGCGCATGACAGAAGAAGGGTGCGCTAGTCTTGGGTTTCTACGCGGACTAATCGTAGGAGTTGAAGCTTTGAACCTGGATGCATCACGATGCAAGGGTACTCGCACTTGCGCCGTGACGCAGTAGCGATGGGTGTACTTAGTGTTTGCCGATCGCGCAGTTCAGGACGCTTCTTCGGGACATGAGCCCGCAGCTGCAATCTGAGGTGACGGCATCGCGGGTTTCGGGTTTGGCATGGGGAGAGGATTCCAGGAGTGTTCGTATTCAGATCGCAGGGGACGGTTGTGGCCGGAGCAGACCTAGGGCGTTGCATGGGGTCTATTTGCAAAAGCCAGCGCTTGTATTGGAAGTACAGCCAGGTCTCGACAGTGCTGAACCTGACTTGGATCCAGTCTCTTGGCACTTTTTCACTTAACTTTTAACTGTGAATTCGGTCTCTTAGGCACCAGTCAAATTCTCAAGGGTTCCATGTCGGTTTCAGCCTGTTTCAAGCTGCGGACCCTTCTTGCGTTGCACGACTCAAGCCTGGAACCCTAACTCCTAGAAGGGCCTACAAAACACTACAGTCCAGAGCGCAAAACTTAGTTTTACCCAAGGACCAACTTCAGAAGCGCAGTCCACTGTAATGTCATGTACAGGGCTGGAGAATTGGTACTACCATCCCCTAGAAGCCCCCGTTGTAGCATGGTTAGATCCCCCCAAAAACCTAGAGCTGTTGTGTGATCTTCCCCAGAGCCCTATTCTTAGTGTTAAGGACTCGGTTTATAATGGGTCAGATCTGCACCCTTGCAGCCGTCTTGTGTGCCCTATGCTGCACGAAGGAAAGTGACCTTCTTCTCCCAGTTTCTGAACTTCCTGGAAGCTGGGCTGGTTTAACAGCATTGCTTCTGCGGGAACAAAACCCTCACGCCATGAAAACCCTGAGACAGAACCTGCCATGCCTGCATGAGCGAGTGTGTGAGTCGAAACTCTAAACCCTCAAATTTTGGCTTCTCGAGATCCTCGAAGCCAAGGAGCTGCAGGAGACGAGAGGTGTCCATGTGGTTCCCTACAAGGCCTCTAGGTTTCCGAGTAGTACCCTTTTTGCACTTTGTCTTTTTGGGTTCCCTTTAAAAGGGATACCCTCAGCCCTAAACCCTAAATCACCATTACTCGACCCTTATTATGAAGGGGCTACCGGGAATCCCAGGCTTGCATCGCCGACATTGCTAAAGCATTGAAGGCCTCGGCGTTTGCACAGCGAGAATCTTTCGACAACGTCCAAGTCCCTTTTTTGGTCATGCAATACCCAACCTTTTTAAGTTATTGGGGTTCTTTATACTTTAACCTTAAGCTAATTTGGCTTCTTAGTCTTTTAGTAAGCTATTGTTTCGGTGGCTTACTTGGAGAAGTAAGGTCCTCTACATCCTGTCCAAGGGCCTGGTGGCTCTCGATAGCCGGGTTGGCTACAATGGGGCAGTTTGGGGAGAAGATTTCGTCCTCTCGGATACCAGCCTTATTCGCCCAGTCGCGGGCTATGCCCTTACCTACATCGAGGTGTTGTACCTGACCAGGGATGCCCTCATGGAGGTGATCGAAAGGCGGAAGGCTAGCTGTCCCCAGCTCGGCCGCATCGTTCGACAGCACTTTGGATTGCTATAGGTTTCTTCTTGTCTCTCAGCTTGTCTCTCAGAGATATGGTAAAACCCGGTAATAAGTCTGTATTCCCTGAATCGCCTCCATGTCTCAACGAATTCGACAGGTACTGTGTCAGGGTCGCTGTCTTCCGCGGAATCCTTGCAGAGGCCAAGCGAAGATCGAAGGGTTCAGCTGGCCAATCAGTGACGCCTCAGATGGGTCGCAGTGGCTCTCCCCAGAAGCAGTCACAAGCGTTGAAGGACCAGTCTCGACCATGTACTGCCTGCACGCGATGTCCCGAAACCCCTGGTTTCGGTTGTAGGCCCGTCCCTATGCACCAACAGGATGTAGTTATGCCTGACCCACCTCCAGCCCCACGGCCGCCACAGCCGAAGTTTCCTATGTGGGAGGAGGTTTGAGGCTGGAGCTTTGCTTCAGTCGGATCAAGTCCCGGGACAGCATATGTTGATCGGCCAGAATAGCCGTTTTCCCGACATATTTTGAGCTTGGCGGTATCAATCCTGCCACTGCAACTGCTTGTCTGCGATGTCAGTGTGAACAAGCAGTACCTGTGCAGATAGCGCAAGGCCGTCAATCAGATTTTGACACCTACCTTTTTAATTCAAGTTGCAATGAAATAGTTCGGACCGACTGCGGTCAGAATTGGGACAAGGCTCCACCCCGGCTCGTTGGTTCAGAAGTATAGGGACTCCGGACAGCATCCTTGATCATGCAATTCATTACTTGCAGTGGTACATTTTAGAGCATGGCAAACCCTAAACTCTAAACCCTAAACCCTAAACCAACAAGCAAGGGAGCTTTCTATAAGCAGCCGGTCGCCCAGAACACCCTCGAAAGATCCTTCTGTCGCAGCGTGCCAGAGGCGCTCGAACAGACGGTTTGGGTTTTGGGACGTCCTCGTGAAAGCTTGCGCCTTGTGGGAGTTTCTTCGACCTTGTGGGGTGCGTTACTATAGTCCCGTATCTTACCACTAGGATGGAATTGGGGCTTCATTGCAAATAGAAGGGGCCCCATTTTTTCTGAAGCTCCCTTTAATCGTGTTTGATACAATGGACCCCTTGGTACAACGGGGTCCTTGACACGATGGCCGGCACACGGATAAGTGGTCCCAGCCTGGTTCCAGTCGGCAGGCAGAGCCCCGAAACTCTTCGAAATCTCTTTGATTTTGTGGTTTTCAGATTTTGTAGCACCGAGGCCATGCATTTCCCTGCCAAGCTTCGGGTTCATTTGGCCTCTGTGAGGTACCTCCTGGGGTGTGCATGTTGGCACCGCCCGATCTCTGCCGCGTCGTTGACGACGACGCGCATAGGGATGTCTTATCTTGCATGTCAGATCTGCTCCTATGCCAACTGTTTTTAGACAAGCGCCACCGTGATGCAGTCAGTGGAGGATACTTAGCTCTCTAATTTTCATTTACATCATGCCATGTCTGGTTCGTCGCAAGTGCCTCGGACGGCTGGCGCTGAACCGCATGGGAGAACTGCTCCGATCTCCGGTAGCTTTGAAACTGCTGATCTGAAGCCGGAAGACGGATCAAGCTCAATCTCGAAAAAGGAGTCCATCGAGAAGAGACCTGAGCCCTAAACCCTAGTCGCAAGCCGGGAACATTTTAGTGTTACATGGTACCTCGAGTATGTATGTATATATATATACACATACACATACATATACATATTCCT